ATAACCATTGCCCATCTCTACTAGGGATATGGCTTCTCCACCGTTGCACAAAGAAAACCAAATACACACACAGAAACCTATATAAAACACCAACAATCAATAATTCAACAAAATGATGATCAACTCATTTCAGCATTCCCGTGAATTCATGAAACCCAATAAAGAAAATTAGCTCAGTAAACATGTATATGAACATATGTGTGTACCTATCTGTGTGTGTTGTCTAAGCAACAAAATACAACAGAGTGAGAGGGTATAGGGGGCATTACACCAAGGAATTTGAGAAGCTCCTTGGTAGCAAAAGGAGGGTTGAGAGAATATTTCCAGCCTCCTTGAGCTGCTCCTCCAGCTCTTTCTTAGAAGAGCAAGACATTTCAACAACAACCCAGAAAACAAAGAAGCCACGTTTTAGGGATTTATGCAATTGAAAGGAAGAACTACAGTCCAATTCAAATTGAAAACCCACATTGAAATCCAGAAATTATGCAATTATGCAATTGAAATACATGAATTATGCAATTGAAGGGAATAACTACAAATCGTGGAGGGCAGGGGACGACGACGACGGAGAGTGACGATGTGTGGGTGGAACCGTGGAGAGGAGGGGACGACGACGACACAAGACATTGAGAGAATCGAGTTGAATTCGATGACTCCAGTGACAGAGTCGAGCTCGTTTATCAATCAAAGTGGTGTGGGTGCCTGGGTTCTGTGATGTCGGGGTGGTGGAGGAGACGACGAGGCGAAACGACGAGAGACAATGGAGTCGAGTTCGAGGACTCCAGTGACAGAGTCGAGCTCGAGGAGACCTAGGTGGGGTAAAACTAACGGTTCAGATTTGATGGTAGGTTCTTTTTCAATCTCGTATGTTCATTGCAATTACAAACGGACCGGTTCGGGTACCCGTTTTTCTATACTTTTGGAACCGGCCCGTCCCTAAAATTTTAAAGCCTCGGCTCGGCCCGCCCCGTTTCTCTTTTTAAAAATTAGGAACCGGCCCGTACCCGCCCCGACCCGCGGTTCCTATACCCGTTTGCCCACCCCTACTGTGTAGTCCAACCGAAATGAGAGATTGGAAAGGTCATTGGTAATGTGATGTGTGGCCCTAGAGTCAGCATACCAGGTAGATGTGGAGGGAGAAGCTTGATTCATGGAGGAGTATGATGCAGACAAAGAAGACAATTGAGGCTGATAGTAGTTTAGGGAAGGTGTAGTAAGTTTTGATGGTGAAGGGAAATCTTGGAAACCCTGGTTCAAACGGTTACGGCATCTAGCAGTAGAATGGCCATGGGTATTGTAGAATGTACAAAAAGGTGCGGTGTTGTTAGTGGTGTTATGATGGAAGAAGTTGTCGGAATTGTTGGAAAAGTTGGGACGATGCAAGCGATTTTGGTTATAGGTGTAGTTTTTGTTGGGCTTGGAATGGGAAAAACGGGATTGAGAGTATTGTTGAAAAGCTTGGAAGATGCAGGGGTGTGAAAAGCTTGACAATAGTGTTCTTGGATATAAGCGGTACAGCTCTCGATAGCTAGCTCTTCACTGAGCAAGAGGCCTTGGAGTTCTTCAGGGTTTACAGGATCTGAACGAACTCTAATCGAAGTAGCAAAAGCATTGTAGTCACTAGGAAGGCCATTGATGGTATAGGCTACAAAATCAAGGTCATTAAGCGGTGCACCAGCTGCAGCAAGAGAATCAGCAGTCTGCTTGACAAGCTGAAAATAGTCAAACAAGGAGAGGATTCCTTTCTTCAAATTTTGAAGCTTAGCTTTGAGCTGCAGCAAGTGTGATCTAGAAATACCACCAAAACAGCTCTCCAGGTTGAGCCATAGAGTATGAGCAGTGGTTAAGCCAACCGTGTAAGGAAGAACAGCTTCGGAGAGACTAGCATTTATCCAAATCTTAACGGTGTGATCTTTCTTTACCCATTGGGCATAAGTAAGGTTTGGAATTGAGGGCTTAGTATCAAGGCATCAGAAAGAAATTATGGGGGGCAAGGCTCAGATCCATCAATTAGGCCTAACATATCATAGTTCTCGAAAATGGGGATGAAAAGCTCTTTCCACACAAGGTAGTTGTTGCGTGTAAGTTTGGCAGGCGGGAGGGAGGCAATGTGTTGAGCAGCAATGGGAGGCGTGTTGGATTGGGTTTGATGAGACAAATAAGATGAGGAAGCATCAGAAAATGGGTTAGTCATATCTTGAATCGTTGAAGATGCCATAGGTTAGAAGAAGAAAAAACAATGTAATAACTATTGGGTATTAATAGCTTTGGATACCATGATGAAAAACAAAGTTGAGGAAAAGAATCATCTATGTATATGGTTTTGAATTGATTACAAGATATGTTGCTATCTTTGAAGAAGAAAGAAACGGCAGACCTAAAACTCAAAACATAAAGAGTAAAACAATAGTATTTATATACATGACTACATTTGAAACCCTAAAAGAATATTCTTCTTGCTCATCCTTATCTATGCACAGCTATCCAAGCCTTGTTGTCAATGTACCGTTAAGGTGATGCTAGATGAGTGATGGGTGTTTTGATCAATTGAACATGTGTCTTGAAAAGGTGTGGCACCAGGTTCACTCGACTATGGTTAATAGAAAATACATGAGGGACAAATTTTAGCCAAATTAGTTGTTTGCACTAGGTTTTGAGAAACTCAAGTAAATTGTATATAGCTGGGAAGAAATATGCACTTTTGGCTGTACATAGGCTCCCAATTTCTAGGCAAAGGGAAGCAGGAAGAGAGCACCAATGGTGGTGACGATAGAGAATCCCTTCTTTGTGGTGGAAATCGATGATCGATGTGCAGCATTCAGCCCAGTTTATAAGAGGAGGGGTCAGAATGCAGAACGAATGACATGGAGATTTGTTTAATTTTATCAAGTTTTGTACTAAGGTAAAACTCACTCCCCATTTCACATAGTTGTAAATGCTGATTAGTATATATGTGTAAATAGGATTGTAAGTATGGTTGTATACATGTAGTAATAGAATTGTAAACATTGTTGTAATTACGTGGAGCTAGAGTTGTAAACCACGGCATAGCGCGGGCTTTTTTTTGCTTGTTCAAACTGAATTTGAAACTTGGAATCAATTTCATGTTAGAGTTGGCCCGTACCATAGAAACTAGGAAAACTTGTTTGCTCCTGCATTATGCATACAGAAAATCATAGTAAAAGCTTTTTTAAAACTTGCAGGAAGCAGTTTACGGCTATATATCTGTCCCCTTCCGTCAAGAGACATCTTGTGGTGCTCTTTCAGTTAAAAAATACCTTATAGTATAATTAATCCACAACACCACCATTCATAAGCAACTGGTGTATTTAGCGTGGTTATGCATAGGTAAGTTAGCCCATTTTATTCGAAAATAACTAGGTGATAGTACTTAATTAGTTAATACTTCCTCAAACACAGAATATCTCTTTCAAGTGGTCATGCCTTATTTTTGGTCGATTCAAACTTTTATACTTGGATTTGATAGTTTAGTATTACTTTTTTTCGCAATAATAAAATGTTCCAGATTCGAATTCTCTAGAAGATTAACAACAACAAAAAACACACACACACCACACAACAAGGGTGATACATGATGATTCTAATATCACATTAATTGAAGCATCCAACCTAAATATATATAAAGATCTTGACCAAAAGAAGAAAACCTAAATATTAAGCTATTAGCGGTTGATAGAGATTCAAAATGGCACTATAAAATCATGGGCCAGAAACAATATTTAAAAATAAATAAATAAGGCACTCCACAAGGAAAAGAAACGCTAAGGAAACTCTCTAAAAAATTAGACTCTTCATGGACTCTCTCTGACATTTATGTTTTTGGTACAATGTTTTATAATATTAGCACAAGAATTGATGTTAAACTATGAGATGGTGAAGAATCCATATAGAGTCTCACTTTGAGAGAGTCTCTTAACATTTCTCCCATAGGGAACTGTCAGCAGTATTATTCCCCAAATCATTGAGAGATTTTTCAGTGTGACCGGCACATAAGGTGATACACCACGTGTGATTATACAAATGGTGAGATATGTGTGTTAAAAAGTTAATAACTTAAAAAAATAAATTTTCCCACCATTTACATAAAAACACGTAGTGTACTATCCGTATTCCCGTCACAATGAAAAACATCGTTATAATTCCAATTAAAACCCTTTTGCATGCATGTGGGACAACTCCACCTCGTCCAAATACACAACTATTCTCAACTCTTTCTTTTTCTACCTTCTCCAACTTCAAAGAAGAAGATGAAGAGGCTTTAACTTTGACTTCCAAAAATACCTCAGCTGCCACTTAGGCAGCACATTGTATGTCCTTTCCAGTACAACTGTACAAGCATTCGACTCGAAGGGTGCGGCAAGGCACTTGCCTCGTTGGGAAAGTTCAATGAATCAGACCAAGGTCTGGTTTGGTACTGAGGTGATTCTGAAAAAAGTGGGTATAAAAAAAAACTGTGTTTGGTAAACATTCAATTTCAGCTTTTTTTCACAGTTTTGGGTGAAAAAAAAAAAAGCCAAAAACACAAAGCTGCAAAACCCAGCTTTGAAAAAACTAGCTTTTTTCACATCTGTTTTACATAAAAGTTTACGAAACACTATAATACTGCTTTTTTTTTCAAAAGCACTTTTATAAAAAAAGTTTACCAAACACTTTGCTGCTTTATTTCACAGCTGCTTGTTCTCACAATACAGCAGAAGCAGCTTTTTTTTCAAAGCATAGCAATACCAAACTAACCCTAACCCTTGAGAACCAAAGCTGCAAGTAGCAGCCGCCTAGTAAATGTACAGAGCCACATCCGCGATTTCTTGTGATTCATTGAAGAAAGCTACGCAATGAGCATCACTAGGAATCCCTCAACGGAAGAGGACTGGTATATGTATATACAAGGCTGTATAGATTACTGATAGCAAAGTCTGAAAATCTAGATCTCTAATTACTTTGTAAATGAGATAGGAAACAAAAACTTCATTTCTAGAATGTTTTTTTTTTTTTTTTTGAAAGACACGAAAGTAGATTTCATTTCATCAAAAAGAGTAGAAACAATGTACAATTTTTTAATCAATGCCTAACACATTCTTCTACAAGTATATCAATAAGAATACTTCGAGGAGAACCATGCCATTCACAGCTTTGGCTCAAAGAGAGTCCGGTCCGCACAAGGTGATGAGTGACAGAGTTTGCATTGCGACGAGTATGGGTAACAGTAGCTTCAGTGATTGATTGGAGTAATGCTTTGATATCCTCCACAATTTGCCCAACTGATGACAAATTTAGGATTGGATTCTTCACCGCCTCCACAATCTAAAATGAATCACTTTCAAAAGACAAGTTTTGAAAACCCCTATTCACTGCCCAAGACAAACCCTCCCTGAAAGCAAGTGTAAACCTTCCCTGAGATTCATTAGGAGTATTGAATTATACATTGTATAATGAAAATAATGAACTAAAAATAATGATGCAAAATAATTACCGAAAATAGAGTTCTGAAATTACTTTATAAATTTGAAAACTTACAAATGATTGGGGAACGGATGACTGAACTGAGAAGTTGATATACGCAAACACCTCTCTAAATGAGTTGCGGAAATTAAAATTGTTTACAAATTTTCTTTGGATACAAGAGAAACTCAAAGAAGTTTTAAAATTTAGAAAATAAATTTTGAATTAACTTGCTAACTTAGGCTTCGGAACTTTTCTTTTATAGACTGGATAATGAGGCATGAATGATTGCCTAATTGACTGTCGGAGCACGGAGTGACTGTCGGACCACTGGCTGGATGACTGTTGGTTCATGCGTAATTAGTGGTTTGTCTGAATGATTAATATTTTGACTATTGATCTTGTAAGTGGAGTAATTATTGCTACAACAGTACTATGGATAAATAGTATCTTGTTGGTTTACTGTTGAGCTTGCATGCGGAATGATCATGGGCACAACGGCGGCATTGTAGATGAATAGTATTTTGTCGGATTAGTGTTTGAATTTTTATCCTGGTTGAATAGTGGTCTCCAAAAATTAATTTTAACTTCTGGTTAGTTTACTCGTACGGATCTTGACTATCTTAACAATCTGCCCATTTGAACTTCTGCTCTTCTTTTACTTGCTCAATTTTAACTGTAGTGGTCTGCTTCTGGGAATATTTATACACACACACACACATAGCCGTAAACTGCTTCTTTCAAGTTTCCAATAAGTTTTTATCCGCCTTCATCACGTGTTCAACAAGGGTGTTACTTATTTTCTTAAACTTAAGTTGATTTGTTTTGTGGAGATGGTCGGTAGATTTTATCGGAAGATTGCTAGGGTATGCCGAATCAAGTGCAGCACTAAACGATGAGAAACAAAGAGAGGTGCAACGGGTTCAATTCGAGCCCTAAAAAACAATGTCAAAATTGAACCGGCTTTTACATATCTGGTCTAATTTGGATCAACTTTTGATATATTACAAACTAAGAATTTTATATGTAAAATAACGAAGAAAACTGGTCTGAACCGGCCGGTTTGGTCTGTTATTTTGTCTACCCACATCATAAGTGACAGAAGCAAGAGCTTTGGGCCTAGAAATCCTAACAACAAACCTAACCAGGCTAACACCCAAGGACTATACTTCAGGACCCAGAATTACTCAAAAAATATTAGGTGTAAGATTGAAAATTCTGCAGCCCAACTTTGAGTCCAACCCAAAGGACGCTCAACTATTGGTTACAAGCCTATGGGCATATGATGAGACTTAGGAAAAGAGGAATTATAATAACGATACTCTACCCTAAACTCATTGACTATGAGGGAGCAATGACTTCTTACATGTATGGAGTATTATCGTGTCCGTTTAATAATACGATTGTTCTGTAGCTAATGATCTTGGTCAATAATATAGTCAAGTAGATAGTCCGATCACTACCAAATTAAGTACTAATTAGTCACATTGAACTAATAATGTAATGTTTCAATAATGTCAATTGCTGCAAAGAGACAGAGAAGAAAAACAAAGCTTATCAATTTGTGTTGTGACTCAAGTCCTTAACTTTATTCGTTTGTTAAGACATTCTTCAACTCAATTCCTTGGCTTCCTTGCCAAAGAATATTGAGTTGGTAATGTGTAGGATAAAATTTAGGAAATAATATAGATATTTAGAAGGGCTAAGAATTGTACATCTCATGTCTAAATACGCGCGGATACGTACATACACCAGTCCCCCCCAACTACATACATGATCCATATACATTGATAATACCATGTCACCCACCCAACCCCAAGTCCCTCTAATTACTTCCCCAGGCATGTTACTATTTCAAGCCTATTTCCTGCTTCACAGTGCATGTCAGACTATACTCCAAGTGATCATATTTTGTTTTAGAAACAAAAAATTTAAAAAGCTATGCCAAAACTCTTTGGAATGGTCCCCTTAACATCGAACCTTTCCCGGTCGATTAATTTTCGAGTTAATCAAACTAGTTCCATTGCCATTTCCTGCACCAGTAGGCCAAAGATTGCAAGCTCAATCTCCATTGCAGTTTCTCCCATTTGATCTTGACTTTTCTTCCACCCGTCGAGCTCCTTCCGGAAATCTTGTTCCACCATCATGTCAATGGTGTTCGACTCCACCTCTTTCCAAGATTCAAATCTCTTGCAGACCCTTCTCACCACCTCTTCTCTGCTGTCAAAACCATCTTCCACTTCTCTCTGTTCCTCGACAATGAGATCCATGAACAATACCTGCATGTCTTCGGGGATACTTTTGTTACAAGGGAAGTTTAATTTGGAAAGTACTTCTCTGAGAAGCTCATCAAGAGTTTCTTCCCTGCTGCTATGTGATGTTTCCGACTTGTCATCGTCACATTCATCATCATCATCATCATCATCATCTTCTTCTTCTTCTAGCATTCTTTTTTCGAGTTCAATTGGATCTAACCCCGCCAATTGCTCAAATCTACGAAGCTTCTGCAGAAGGTGGTGCTTTGTTCCTGTAAATTCAACGCAGGAAAGACCAAAATTAGTAACTTGTTCGAAAATTCAAAATTGCTACAAGGCTTGTCCATACACTCAAAAATAACCTGTTAATTTGATATCACATTTAGGAACCAACATTTGTTACTCAGATGGGAAAACAAAATAAAGGCACATACACAAACATAAACATGCCTCCAAAATTTATTAATGTGCAGTTCTAATTTTGAAACTTTGAACTGATCCTCTCCTACTCTCGTGTCCTATATATGGATCTTTATTTAACTGTAATAACACCGAAGAAAAACAGAGAACGGGGGAAACAACTCTCGTGCCTTCAACAGGTTCCATAACAAAACAGGAAGAAGAAATGTAGAAAATACGTGAATAATTGCCATATTTTGAAGCAGGGCAATCAATGAGCAGCCTATAAATGAACAAAAAGGGTTTGATCAAAACTGAAAACCGCTAAAAACTTTCAAAACACAATCACAAATTTGAAATGAACAACTAGGGTTGATGAACTAACACATGCACATTGACATCAGAAAACAGAGCTGTGGGTCACATATGCAGTTATGATCACTGCAAAATTACGTATGTAACATCGATACAAAGACAACAAGCGTTTTGACCGACACTTCTGAGCCGAAACACAGATAAGAACATGGAGAAGCAATCTGGCTATGGATCCCACAAAGATAAGCATGGTGTCATGACAAAAACAATCTTTGCTTTGAACTTTCATGTCCTACGTAACAAACAGTAACAAGCTCATTGAAAAGGACCGCACAACCAGCAAAACAAGGGTATAAAGATTAAAACAAAGTTAGTACAGCATGGGAATTATTACATACTCTGCACATTGGCATAGCTGCACTCCAAATCAAAACCGTCTTCATCGTCATGTCCCTCGTCATCGTCTTGGAACGGAGGGTCCAATACAGAAACCGGGCTGCATTGTTCCTTCTCTTCCTCCTCCTCCACTTCTGCTTGGAATTTCTTCAACCCCTCCTCCTATTAACACATCATAACCCTAATGAAAACACTAATCACATGTAATTAAGCAATAAAGTAATAATTTAGACTAAATCCCAGATCCATAATTGCATTGCTGATTGACTTTTCTTGTTAAATTTTAGAGAATTTCACTTATCAACAACACAAAGTGTATAATTTTACATATGTCGGGACTCCATGATGTGATCCAACACAAGAAAATAAGGGCAAATTTGTCTTTTCAATCAAATATTACTGCTGGACAGTGTCTTACAAGTTACAACAAAGAGATTTACAATGCCGCAGACGCTTACAAAAAGTATACACATATGTTGATCATAAAAATTGACACATATCGCCCTCCAATCTGCCTAAATTTCCCACCCCAAATCTATACAAAATTGATCCTGTTGCCGACAATTCTGTAAGCTCCCCAGTGAGTTAACTCGGACCGTCGTTAAGCAGACCGAGTCGCCAACTCGGTGCTTAAATTATTTAGTCATGGCAATAAAAAAAACAAAGTTGGTAAAAGAAAGGAAAAAGACAAACCTCTTGTTTGTGGCGACTAGGGGACGCCACCGGCGATGTGAATTCTGGCGTGCAGTGGCCGGATGACGGGGGGGTTGGTTGGAGGACGAAACGAAAAGGGCTTTCGCAAAAAGCATTAACCTTGTCGCAATTACAAGGGCAATCTGTATCGGCCGAGTCCTCCTCGGACTGGCTGCAGCTGCTTGAAGTGGCTTCGTTGGTTTCGGACCACACCGCACTGCTGGGTCTCCCAGTGCTTACCAGAGAAGCAATTTTGTTCTCAACTTCTAAACCAGACTCAACCTTTTCCTCCACCTGATCGGAAGTAAAACTTCTCCGCCCGACTGACGAATCCCACTGGAGAATATCCTTCACCGAGACCTGAACCCCATCGCCGGCGTTGATTTCCCGCTTTCGGGTCCGATTCTGATTCGTTAACCTCTTAAAAAGAGACCCGAATAGCCCGAACCGGTGGTTTTTGTTCTGGGTTTTCGGTTTTGAATTCGCCGACTGCTTCTGAATCCTCATCGCGGCTTCGACGAGGAGAGCGGCGGTTCTGTTCGGGATATGGAGGAAGATGGCGTTGGGACTTTTGCATGGGCTTTTGGCCGCCGGCGACGAGAAATCAAAGAGCGGGGATTTTCTGAGGTCCGGCGAGTCTTGGAGGGAGAAAAAGCAGGCGTTTTTGCAAAGATTGCCGGGAAAGTTTGAAACTTGGGAGATGGGTCTGCGTTTTTTGACCTGTAAGTGTTGTTGGCTTTTCATGGAAGCACTTTTCAGCTGGCAGCGTTTATCGGCAATGTAGTTCTTGAGCAGAAACGGCTCCTGGTCTTCTCTCAGCAGCTCGTGTAAGTGCTTCTGCGCCGCCATGTTCATCGAAAAAAGCTTGCAGCTTTCAAAAGGGATTTTTGTAGGGAAAAACCGATTAATGTAAATATTAACTTAGCGAAAACGGATTTTGGATGATAATTTTCAGCAGCATAAAAAAAGTTGAAGAGGTTTCAACTTTCAAAAGAGGGAGGTTTTGAAGGATGATAAAATGGATGCTAATATAGTAGAGAGAGACAGGGATAGACAGGGAGGAAGGAATGAGGAGAGTTCATGATTCAAATCTGAAGGGTGCAGGGGGTAGAAATCGAGGCTGAGATGGTGACAATCGAATTATTATAAAATAAAGG